CTCAACCACGGGTGGGTGTACTCAGGGGCCGCGAGCTGGTCTCTGTCTGTTCCAAGTCCATCCCCACCATCAGAGGCCCTGGTGAAAAAGCAGACTGGGACTTAGACTCCGCGCTCCGGGGAATCCTATTCCGTGGGTTGCTAGAGGTACCGCCAGGTGGTACATTACAGCAACTATGTGCACCGCACACAGGGGCATTTTTGTGGCGCCTCCCCATTTACCTTAATATGTAGTGTTCAGCAGGCTTGCTGCCCACTGATCGCTACATTTCAGGTGAAGTTTGCCATGGGAAAGAAGCATCACACCCATGGCATATAAACATCTCCATTTGCTGCCTATTGCAGCTTAAGGGGGTTGTTGGCGGGAGGCATTTTTGCCACCCCCCCTACTGCAAGTTTTTCAGATCTCATTTGTCTGTCACTGAAAAAAAGCTGGCACTTTTTTTAAAATAATAATCCTTATCCTGGTGTGCTGGCTTTGTGAATTATGTTCCTTTCACACAGGCCAAATCTAGTTTTGTTTTGCAGGGGATCCATCCGCTGATCCCCTGCTGAGCTGAGCAGAGCTGCCAGATGACAGGTCCGTGTCTGCTCCGCTTAGGCAGGACCGACACAGTCTGCTCTCCTCTATAGGAGGATGTAAAAGAATCGGCTGTCCATTTACACCCGACTGCCCTCAGATCTGATCTGGCCAGACGAAGGGGAATGGAATCCCCCTGTTGCTTGTTTTTGCTGGATCGACTTACATCTGACTGTCCATAGAGGAGAATAGAGGGTCCAGTTGGGCCTGCCTGAAAAACGGACAGGTGGATCCGATTGGACTGCTAGTGTGAAAGGGACCTAAAACTTTTTTAATAATTTATTTACATTAACTTGATTTTTTTGCTTAGTCAGTGTATCTCTAAAAATGTTTAGAGACTGTAGTCTCTCATAAGCTGTTCCTTACATTCATCTACTAAATCTTCCATGGAGCCCTTTGGACTGAACTAATTTCTCCTCTACAAAGCAGTCCTTTGATCACACTTTAAGATCTTACCCAAGATGTCTATAGATGGATTATTACAAAATTAAATAAAGTGTTCTTAACCTCATTATGTATTCCACACAAACTTTCCTTGTAGATGATCTATGACAGCAGCAGGCTGAGGAGAGAACTGGAAGTATGTTTTATTCAGATCAACATTTAGAGTCAAACGAAATGTTATTTAATTTACGGGTGTGCAAATCATCTTGTCCTAATCTCCTACCATGAAATTGGATTGTTTTTGGAGGAGACTGTACAAGTAGGTTTATGCACCTTTTGGAATGCCATTTGATCAAGGCATATGCGCAACAAATTTCTCTGCAAAGCAAACGCAAATTATCCTGCAACTTTTTCCTTGAAAACCCAAGAGACCTACATTGATATTTTTATATCAAAGTTTTTGGGACTATATCATGCAAAGGGTTCCTGAAATAAAATAATTGGTTGTTTTACTAAAGCAGATGACTTGAGCCTATACTTTGAATAAGCATTTCAGGTGCCTCTGTCAATCAAACTACCGACGGGTTTTTTGTGGCACTGACTCCTCTTATCAGGGTGAGTATCAGGCTGTAAATACGTAAAAAAATAGGTGCAGCGCTGAAAAAAATAATATCTAAAAATCATATATAAGAGTTTACAAATAGTAATATGAAATTATTAAACACAAGTGATATCATAGGAGGTGACTCGCTACAATGAGCGCAAATAAATACGTGCAACTGTGAATGTCAATAGACAGACAAAAAAAGTGTTCATATACTGGTGAAGGTCTGACAAACACCGGTCAGAAAATTGTGCCGCATACAGAGCCTGTTGCACAGGTGGTATCAAAGAATTCCATGTGACTTTATTCCATGCAGCGAATATGATAAAAATGCGCACTCACCAGATGCACATAGTAAAAGTGCATTATGTTGAATCATATAATGACTGTAAGATCTGATATATATATATATATATATATATATATATATATATATATATATATAAAATCATATGGATTAAAGTCACATGGATTAAAGTCACATGAAATTCTTTACACAATTTTTATATATTATTATTTTTTCAGCACTGCACTGTATTAAGGGAGGCTGTGCTCACCTGATAAATGTGCATTACGGGCAGCACACAGGGAGTCATGGGACATGTAGTCCTCATACAGTAGATCAATGTGCTTAGTTCACGCTTGTCAACTACAAGTTCAGGGAAGTGGTAAAGAGAGGAACACATGAAAAAGAAATTCAATACAGATAAAGCAAGACATTGGGGCACAGTAAAGGAAAATAATCCCATACTAGTTGCGTGGAGCTTAACATAAATAGCAATATTACAAAATTGTTGAGGGAAAATGGAACAACTAAAAGCAACTAATGCAAACACATTCATACAAACTTCATGCAAAGTGACTTTAGTTGAAATGTAACCCTACATGACAGTACTGCAAGATTTAAATACTAATGTTAAGCCATAATAGAGTCTTTTTCCACCATTTGTGCCAAATGTATACGGCTAGCAGTTTTACTACAGCTCTTGCACCACATGGACTGGGGTGGGAGGGAAGCAGGCATTTGTGCCCTGGGCCTACTTGCAGTCAGTGGCATATGCTTCACATTATATAGCTTCCCTGCCATCAGAGTCTTGAAATCTTCAAGTCACAACTACCTTTGCAGCTATGAGTTGTGATGTCACCAAATGCCGGAGCTCATACCTTAAGGTTGGGAACATCAACCTTTAACCATGCCCACCAATCAATGCAGCAACATAGTACACTTTAGCCCACAAAAAATGTCTCTACTGTGAAAGGTTGTGTTTGCCTCCCCAGACCAAATGTCCTCAGTCCTCCCCTGCAACATCAAATTGAAAGCCCCTTCCATGCAGATTTTGTCACTGGTGGACAACCGGCCTAGGATCCCAGTGCTAATGGCTAATCATCTGTACACTTTAAGACTTGTGTAGACAAGCATAGTTTTCCTGGGTTTAGTGTGTGTTTGAAGTGCACAAAACAGATTCCCATATATTTCATTGGTGCTATGGGACTGATGGATCTGAGGCTGCTTGATGTGCTTTGCATTGCATCACAGTAGGACCTTCGATGTCCAAAAATATATTTTTGCTCTGCAGGCATAGCAGGTTTAAAGCCTATCTGCAGCTTTCATTTAACTTTAAAAAGTGATTTTTTTGGAACAAGCTTGTCTTATGAATGAATGCAGGGATTCTCCCGATGGGCTGAGATGGAGAGGTGAGAGAATGATATCACGATTTCCACCTCAACCCTTATAGAAGAAGCCTTGCATTCATTCATAAAATACAAAGCTTCCTGGGAATGGTTGAGCAGCGCTCAGCCCAACTCGATTTTGTTCCAGGATCGGGACAGGAAGTCCCTATACCACTGCTGGAACAGCTGGTGCATGTATTAGTGGAGGAAATAATTTTTTGAAGTATCTTGGTCCAAACAAACTATTTAAAATGAAATTACCCTGGAGCAGGGGCAGACTGACAACTCATGGGGCCCCCGGGCAATAGGGGAGCATGGGGCCCCTGTGTCCTTGCCCAAACTCAAAAAAGCCTATGAAAAAGGTACCAGGGGCATCTCATGGGGCCCCCTACTGACCAGGGGCCCTCGGGCAGTGCCCGAGTTTCCAAATGGTCAGTCCGCCCCTGCCCTGGAGTTAGGCTTTAAGTCAGCCTTTAACGTTGGACAACTACGCCTGTAGTGTGTGTTTATATCTTCCTGTTTTACCAGTTCTGTACCCTATGTCACCTTCCCCATGGTATCCTATTAAAGACACTCCAGTGATCTAATTTACAAAAATCAGAAGTTGCTAAAAAAAGTTTGAAGTTTTAAGGCTTAAGATAAATGTAATTAAACAATAAGGGATTTGCCTTGAAGGAGGCCAAATCTGAGAATCCTTTGAAGAACATCAGCAGCATTATATAACTGATCAGAAGTATGTTTGCTGGAATGTGGGAAATCAGATACAATGCTTAAAGTCAAATTAATTCCTTCCATAACATTAAGTCTGAGATTAAGAAGTTTGACTTTGAACTTTACAAATTATTTTGTGCAACTTCGCCCACATGTGATAAAATCCTCTTTATTTATGTTAGTTGGACCTTTAATTCATTCTTTACAATACCTGTTGGACTCTTCAATAGTACCAAAGCCTTTCAGTTCACAAGACTGAATGGATTAAAACTAAATACATGTACTGCAAGGACGTTAATTTACCTTCCAAAGAGTATGTATTCCTGTCAATGCTTTCCTGAGATTTAGGCTAGGTTCACAACTAACATTTTGCAGGTGCGAGTTTTTGCACATTTTTCAGTTATTGCGCTACACGCATAGTGCAGCCCATTCATTTCAGTAGGTTGCACTATGTGCGAAAAATGTGCCATAGTAGCTGATGTACCTTTTGGACACATGTACGATATGCATTTTCTTAGTATGTATCAAGCTTTTGCACAGCACATCCCCATCTGGCAGGGCAGGATACCTGATTTTTCTCTGCTGCAGTTTAACCCTTACAGATCGTGTCTTTTTCTTAGTGACTGGACAGTGAAAGAAGAAGTAGCAGATTAATGAACTCATCTATTTGTCACTCTGTTCTCTCCTCCTATCAACATGTTTCTGGTTGGCACATAAACACTACAACACACACTGATTAGTTCTTTGTGCTGCTAATCCTTCTCCTAGTCAAAGCTTTGCTCTTTAGGGGGTTGTTAGATGCTGATACCAACTTAAATATAGATCTTTAACTGCCTCCTGCCCGCCATATAAGGAAATGATAGACGGTTGGCAGTTCTCTCGTTCTGGGAGGACATCATATGACATGTCCTGATGATCAGTGTAGCCCCAACAGTGCCACCTGTCGGTGTCCATCAATGCCACCTGTCATTACCCATCAATACCACATACACGTGCCCATCAGTGCACATCAATGCCAAACAACAGTGCCCATCAGAGCTGCCTTTCAGTGCCAACTATCAGTGCCAGTCAGTGTCTCCTATCAGTGCCGCCAATCAGTGCCGCCAATCAGTGCCAGTCAGTGACACCTATCAGTGCCCATGAGTGCTGCCCATCAGTACCCCTCAGTGCCGTCTAACAGTTCCAATTAGTGCTGCCTAACAGTTCCAATCAGTGCCATCTATCAGTGCTAGTCAGTACTACCTATCAGTGCCATATATGAGTGCTGCCTTTCAGTGCCCATCAGTGATGCCTGCAATGTCAATCAGTGTCACCTATCAGTGCCTCCTCATCAGTGCCGCCTATCAGTGCCCATCATTGCAGCCTATCAGTGCCCATCACTGCAGCCTATCAGTGCCCATCACTGCAGTCTCATTAGCGCGCATCAGTGAAGGAGAAAAATTACTTATTTACAAAAGTTTATAACAGAAACTAAGAAAAAAAATTTTTTTCCAAAATGTTCAGTCTTTTTTAGTTTGTTTAGAAAAAAATATAAAAACCCCAGTGGTGAATAAATACCACCAAAAGAAAGCTCTATCTGTCTCAAAAAAAAAATTATAAAAATTGTGTTTGGGTACAGTGTTGCATGACCGCGCAATTGTCATTCAAAGTGCGACAGCATTAAAAGCTGAAAATTGGCCTGGACAGGAAGGGGGTAGAAGTGCCCAGTAGGCAAGTGGTTAAACTGTTTTTATACAAAATATGTTAATTATTTACTATTGATTATCTGCATTGTTTGTGTATTTTTATACAGTATATGCCTACAGTTCAGCTTTAAAGCGGTGTTAAACCCAAAACCAAAAATGTATTATATTGCAGTTTACCAAACATTGGATGTGGTGGCTGAATCAGTTTTCTTTTCTATGGCTTTTTCCTTCTGTTTTCACCTGGTGACCTGGCCAGTAATACACCTCCTGTGTTAGGGAGACATCACTCTGGAGGAATGAGTACTGGACACAGCAGACAGCAGCATTGTCAGTCTGGGGACATGGGAGTGTTAAATGTATTAGCAGATTTAAATACAATAACAGTTTGAAACCCAACTCCAGCTCGCACTTTATAATCAGTTACATCAAACTGTTTTTTTTTTTCCTTTTGGTATAAAATAAATAAAATCTTATCATTTTAATCACCCCTGCCAGTGTTGAATGATCTCATCCATGTAAACTGATACTTTCTGCTGGAGAGCTTGAAATTCTGGAAAACAACAGGCTTACTGGCTGGATCACCAGATGAAAAAATACAAGAAAGAAAGCCAAAAAAAGAAAAGTAATGCAGTCATCACATCTAAGAATGGGTGACCTGCAGTATAATAAATGTATGCTTTTGGGTTTAATACTGCTTCAAGGCAGATTTTACACCTGCTGCTGGTACGTATAGTAGAGAGGCAGAGGCAGGGGCGGACTGACCATTCGAGCTCTCGGGCACTGCCCGAGGGCCTGGGGTCAGTAGGGGGCCCCATGAAATGCCCCTGGTATCTTTTATAGGCTTTTATTTTAGTGTAGGCAAGGAAGCAGGGGCCCCATGATCCCCTATTGACGGGGGGCCCCATGAGTTGTCAGTCCACACCTGGTCAGAGGGATGTATTGTTGGATGTAAAAGTTAACAACAAGAATAAGATGACATTGCTAGTTGTATGTTATTACTTTTAAAGAAACTCATTACTGAAAACTAGGGGAAATACATACTCAGGGGTGGACTGACAACTCATGGGGCCCCCGGGCAATAGGGGATCATGAGGCCCCTGTGTCCTTGCCCAAACTCAAAAAAAAAAAAACGCCTATGAAAAAGGTACCAGGGGTATCTCATGAGGCCCCCTACTGACCCCGGGCCCTCGGGCAGTGCCCGAGTTTCCAAATGGTCAGTCCCGCCCCTGTACATAATATATAATAAACAGTACAAAAGCCTCTCTACTATGCTTGTTAATTGAATTGGAGCTCTGCAAATGCTCCCTGTGCCACTGCTAAAGAGATTCTTCTCACATTTCTACATAGGAAGTGGGTCTGTTCCCAGGGGAACTAAAGAAAACCTGACAGACACAGATTATAAGTCTCTCTCATTTTATTCAAAACTAAAAAAAACGGTTTGTCTTAAAGCGGAGTTCCACTCACCTGTCAAAAATTAAAAGTTAGCAGCTACAAAAACTGTAGCTGCTGACTTCTAAAAAACAGCCACTTACCTGTCCCTCGGTCCCGTGGTGTGTCCGCCGTAGTCCGTTTCACTGGTCGTCCTGGATTCCAGGAGGCCGGCATCTTCAGTGTGGGCACCCGGCTGTGATATCTTGCGGCTTCACAGCCGGGTACCCACTGTGCATGCGCGAGTAGCGCTGCGCTTCATGAATGGTCCTGTAGTCTTCTTGGACCGGTCACGTGTCCCAGAAGACTACAGGGACACCTTCTGTTTCCATTCGCCTAGGCGATCAGACAGGAAATGGGAGCGGGTACCTGTCAAATTCGGGTACCCCCCCCCCCTGCCCCCCAAAGGTGCCAATCCTTAATGGGGAGCGGGGGAGCAGTCCTTTAAGCAGAACTTCCCCTTTTGGGTGGAGCTCCGCTTTAAGATGAGCTTTAAGATGCCTACATAGAGAATATCGGTTTTAGAGGGTTACTAAAGGCTTTAAAAACCTGAGTTTCTTACATCTTTTGGGGGCTCAGGGGATCTATGTTCTTGACTTTCAGGGTCTGCACACCTGCTGTGGCCATTATGAGTGGTTCCTGCTCTTCGTGTTGGCTTTTAAATGTATTTATTGTGTTTTTTCATTGAATCTGGATGTCTTCTGTGTATTGCTTTCAGATCTGTGCAGTACTTCAGCATAAAATAACTCCAGCGCTTTGTATTAGAGACCAGTTACTGCTTTTTTCTGTTCTTGTTCAAGGTGGCTGGCCTTGTCTTCACCCCTATAGTTCTCCATAGGCCGCCTGTAGTGGGTAGGCCTGCTGTCTAGTAAAGTATATAGGCACGCCTAAGCATTCTCATTAAAGTTAAATACATAACATTGCAAACTGTGGAATTCTTTGGCATTTTCATAATTTGGAAGCAAAATTGATTGGATGTCATATTTACAAGAAATGCTTACTGTTGTTATAATTAAAGTAAAAGACGTGATTGATCCAGTGAGTAAATGTGATTACTTTTCATAAGAGAGGGTGTTTTTTTCCTGTGGAAGGAAACTTTACCATTGGATCAATACTTATAGGATTAGAAAAGGTTGAACTGTATGTTGGTTCTTTTGTCTAATTACCAAAAACTGTTTGGGTCTCATTGAAGGGAGGTGTAGATGGCACAGTCTGAGCTTCACTTGCACTCGGCTATACGCAATGTAGCTGAGCATCCCCCCCACCCATTGCTTGTAAGATTCATGGGACCTTATAAGCCGAAGCCTCATTAGCATGTGCATTTGAGTGTTTTGCCAAGTGCAATGCAAAGCATCTCAAAAAGACCATGCCCTAGCAAGATCTATTGCACTAGGCTCAGCAAAACTAGACAAACAGATTGGATTCAGATGGCTTCCTGAAGAGTACCTGAACTGTGGAAGTTGTGACCAAATAAAAGGTAGGTTGAGAGTAAAGGATAGTCGGCATCATTTCCCGTAGTCTTCCTGCAGTTGATATTTCCCCATTACTGACTTACTATGTCTTGCTTGTCCATATGTATCTGAGAGCAGGGCTGCTGATAAGGCAGTACAGCCAGCCCTCCTGTGCCGGGTATCCTTTTTGAACTGATGGGGTCCAGGCAGGGGGGTCAGCTGTACTGCCTTATTACAGACACCAATCCTCTTGTGTGTCCGCCCCCCCCCCCCCCCCCCCCCTGCCAGCTTCCCTCCTCTCCCACCGGTTCCTGTTGGGGACACAAAGGTTTATGTTTCAGGATGGAGAACAGGGGGAAGCATAGTACACTGTGTTTACTATGCTTTAGTGTCAGGGCAGGAACGCTGGAATGGGCAGGCAGGCCTATGGTACGGTCACGCTGCGACTGACGACAGCCACTACCCACAGACCAGAGCCCCTCAGGGCGCGGAGTCTAAGCCCCAGGCTACCCTTCACCAGGGCCCCTGATGGTGGGGATGGACTTGACGCAGCCTGAGACCAGGTCGCGGCCCCCGAGTGACCCCAGCTGCGATAACGACTGCCGCCAATGGCGTACAGCTGGTGGGAGCTAGATGGGAACACGAGTAGAGTAGTCAGACAAGCCGGGTCAATAACAACGGAGCAGACAGTACTAGACGGTAGGCAAAGAATACTCAGGTCACGGGCCGGGTTCAGCAACGGAAGGTCAGGTAAAGGGTTAACGCAGAGAGTAGTCTTGTCCAAGCCGAGTCAGTTACAAGGAGAGCAATGGGAACAACACAAGAGCTTGCAACAGGGCAACATACAGGACACAAGTGCAGAGCACACTTGCAGACAGCAGGTTTAAATGTGCTCAACCACACCCTTCTGAGGAGGAGCCACAGAAGCCTGAAGGCATAAAGGTTCCCACCATGCTTTGCAGAAAACCAAGATGGATGCCAGCTCATGGAGATGCACAAGCTCTGAAGAAAGGTAGGACCTTGACATTTAGTTTGTGAATGAACAGGAAGCCTTAGAAAGCTAAGGCTGCAAAGAAAAGGATTGAGGAATCTCTGTCCTCAGTTCCTTTTTCTTTCTCAAAAGTGAGACATCAGGAGTTTGTTTAGACACTTGATATTTAACCAAATAAATAAATTAAATATTAGAATTCTAAAAAAAGGTCCAAAAAAAATTTAAATTCTAAAAAAAATTTAATTTCTGCCATGGCTGGGAAGAATAGGATTACGGCCATGGCATGTGTACATCCCCAGTCACTACCTCTGTTGATAAAGTGGGTAGCATTTGGTGGGCAGTAAAAGTGAAGCAAAACCATGGGGTTTTTCACTACCCCCCCCCCTCCTCCGACCTCACATGTAAATTAGCCCTAAGGACTTATTCACACAGGTACTCTGGCAATGTGAATGATTGCAGCCTGTTACTCTAATGAGTTTAGGGTATTTCTAGTGAAAATGTAAGTTGATCATTTTGAGGTGGGGGGGCCCTGTCAGGTAGGCTGTACAAGGCCCTGCGATTTCTAACAGCAGCCTATGGCACTGTAGCTAATCTCCCTGGACGTGGCCGAAAGAGAAAAATTGATCAAAGATTGCAATGAAGGATTGTTGGAATGGTGGATAAAGAACATCAATCAACTTCCAGACAAATTCAAGCTGACCTTCAGGCACAGGGTACAACTGTGTCAGCTCACACTATACATTGCTATCTGAATGAAAAGGGACACTATGGTAGGAGACCCAGGAGAACCCCACTGCTGACACAGAAATATAAAAAGCCAGATTGGAGTTTGCCAAA